ACCCCCAGACCCCCACCAGCCAAACCCCCAGCTTTTTCATTGTTTCAAACGAAAGAAAACGTTAATAACTTACGGGTTGTCCGTTTGATCCTCGTTTTCCGCGCTTTCCATGAGGGCCTCTCATACCCTAAATTCCACATAAAGAATAAACCAATCTGTTATTGCTAATTCGCGGTGGAATAAGGTCACCCTTCTTAGCTACAAGCCAGTGAAAGAATATCTGCGTAATGAGTTGCAATTCACCGAAGATAATAATTTTCATCAAAAGATAACATTTTAATTTATAGTGATTTTATGATATATTATGATACGATATTACCATTTCACCCTTGGAGCCGGCGTCACCTGAATGACCAGGAGCACCCATAGAACCCTAAGAAAGGGAAGATATAAAGTAAACATGACTGAAATAACTGACGCTTTGAATAGACCACGTACTACTTATTGGATTTTATTTTGCGATTTTGTACAATTGTTCTCGATGAACTGCATAAACAAGAGAATTAACAAATCGACATTGGTTTAGTGTGCCCTGTACTCTTATCGACAACGATATTCGTCATCACAGTTGTTGATAAGAGTAGAGACCACGCTAAACCATTGTCGAACCGTTTTCTATCGACGTCAAATAAAACGATAACTTCACTGCGTGACACGTTATGTGATACGTTAACGCGAGCAGCGTTGTTTGTACTCTTATCGACAAAGGCAAATTAGCCAATCAGATTGCGACATTACCGCCAACTGTTGTACTATGCAGTACATTTAATCGACACAGATCCTTCTCCCGGTACAAAGAGACATAGGAAAAAAACATCTCATGGCGAGGAATAAAATCACTTACTACACGTCCCACAGGACCCAGAATTCCAGGCTGACCCATCGGACCAGGCACCCCCTAATAGAGACAATAGCAAATTTTTGATTGAAAATATGATAAAAATATTAGATGTGAATAGTGTTTTCTTTTGAAAGTAACATTCTTCAGGAGGCTGGAGTTTATGTAGTCTCCCTGTTTGGTCTCGTCACGTAAATTAACGTCTGGTAGGAGACGTTAATTTCCCACACACGAGATTACTGTGTGATGGATGTCCTCCCCTGCGGTGGGATGGGTGGGTTTATTGGGCCCGCAGTAATCGGCGCAAGCTGTTGCGGTGTCCCTGCCGGTTGGCGAAGCTAAATAAAATAAAAATAAAATAAAGTAACGCGCTCTCGGGAAAACAGAAATCCCACTTACGATTTGTCCAGATTTCCCCTGGTCACCGCGTTCACCCGAGGCGCCGGGCACACCCTAAAATGAATAACTTAAGTATAAAGAGAAGCACCATTGTATCTTGTTATGGAATAAACCTGGCAGAGACTGGAAAACTCAACTAACATTTTTTCCGCTTGATCCTTTGTCTCCAGATTTTCCCATTGGTCCCTGCAATGCAACGTCTAAAAACATAAGAACTTTGTGGCGAAATTGATTTAAAAACGTTTCCATGTAGGCGGTGTTTTAAATATGACAAATTCTTTTCAGTCGAAATTACCAGTACTATTTTCATAGATTTTGGTACTGCACAAGTCGCAAAGGTTTTAACAAAAGCCTGTGTCCGGCGAAGGTCTCCCGTCGCCTGTAAGGCTTCTTATTGCCCTCTGTTTACTCTGTTTATTCTGTTTAGCCTACACACTGGTTCCCGTGTTTGGGTTTCACCGCCTATTACACCATCGCCAGCTGCTTATGGAAAAAGTTATTAAACCACTGCTTCTGCTCATTCCCTAATCAAACATCCCAGCAATACGAAGATACCAAACAGTATTCTTCTCAAGAGACCTCACAGCTTTGGTCTAAAATAAATTTGAAAGAAAATGGCTCATATAGCATTGTCAATTTAACATAATAGATTGATCTCTGTCTGGAAATAATGTCATCAAAGTGTCAGATTAAGACGTTGAGTTCTTTCTGACCTGACTTCCCGGAACACCATTCATGCCATCGTCTCCTTTAGATCCCTAAAAAATAAAAAAATAAAAAAAAAGAATCAAAAATTGATATGTACATTTTAATTCGTTTGTGTCATGACTTAGAGTCTAAGCGTGCAATTCCGAGCCGGCAAATTGGGCCCCGCTCGGTCAGCAGTCAGAACACAGGATTCGCCTCATATTGTCCAAGACCGCTGCCGGCTATATTTAACAGTTATTCGCCGATGGCGAGGTGAATATCGCCGACTAATCCCCTCGACTTCGTCTCGGGGATTATTCGATAATATTCACCGAACCTGAGGCGAATAATTGTTTTAGTCTAATTTCAGAGCTGAACAACAGAGAAATTTCTAAAATCATAACATTTTAGTAACCTTTATTAACATTTTATTTTAACATTTTATATAAACCGCGTGGAGAGGTTTATATAGCGTCATATAAGGAACCGCTCGACCAATCTGATTGCTGGAAACTCTTTGCTCAGCTCTGAAATTACGCTAAAATAAAATATTCTCTCCATTTTTCAAGTCAAGCCATTCACCATTGCACTACTGCTCTTAAAAAGATAATTTGGTGTTATGAACTGAGTTGTTGATGTGAATTGGCGACAGTAAAGAGATTTTAAAGCTGAGGTTTCCCTTTCACCTCTTTACGGTTGGCCAATTTACTTTAACTACTTAGTTGATAAAACCAGACTATATCGTAATAGCCCCCTGCGACGCAGCACCACAGGTCTGGGGTATCAAAATTAATACAACAATAACTACTTTCTGGAATCCATTTTTAATAAGGTTTGCACTTCCTTTTCTGGCAACATTCTCTAGCAGCAATTTGTAAACTTCAACCTCATCTGTTTTGTCATACACCTACCTTTGCCCCAGGACTTCCGTCATCTCCTTTTGACCCGGGGAAGCCTGGTAACCCCTGAACAAAGGGGAAGAGATGCAACTCAATAATTTATCATCACAACCACTATACACAAAACCTTTTTAGATTTCATTTTGGAAAAGGTCCATATACCCACCTATCTTCTAGAAATTTGAAATGAAGAAACACAATACATATCTTAGACAAAAAAAACATTCCTTACCTCTCCCCCTGGTAATCCAGTGTCACCTGCCTCACCAACTGCACCACCGGACCCCTGTTAAAAAACAACTGTTTAAACTGTACTGTTAATACATCTGAAATATCTGGAACGTGTGTGATGTGTTCAGCTATGGGGAAAAAATCGACAATTCAATCTAGGGGTTTTGCTTCCATTTACCTGTTGACCAGCTACTCCAGGGGAACCTATCGTTCCACTTGGTCCAAGAGCTCCCTGCAGCGGTAAGCGGAGAACAGCAATGCAACATTTTTTCTTTTTAATTTTTGTCTTTCTCTATGCTATTCTTTCTTTGAGCAGAAGTTTCGAACAAAATAAGATTCAGGTAAACTTAACCGCAGCACAACCATTTTTTTTTTTTTTTTAATAATCAACAATCATGCAAACAAACCTTGGGTCCTTCGGGCCCGGCTTCTCCTTGTTCTCCAGCATCTCCCGGCTTTCCCTAAAAGGAAACCAAATCAATTCTTTTTCGGTAAAGCATGTCTTCGTTTTAAAGAGTCCTGTTTAGAAAAACACGATGTAACTCGCACCAGTTCGCCTTCGGTTCCAACTGGACCCGATATACCTGGGCTTCCGGAGGCTCCCTGAAAGACGAAAAAAAACAAATGAGACACAAGTTTACAACCAGGTGCTTCACATCTCGAAGACATGCGAAATTTTTAAGCTCGACTTAGAAGTAAACAAGGTTTGTGACTCTTAAAAATAAATCATCGGGTGACGATCGAGTTTGTTGCTAGCGAATGGACTTCTGAACTCAGGAAAATAACGTTGCTTTTTAAGTTCTGTTGAAGAAAATAAGCAAATGTATATTATATTCACAGACAGGTCCTGATTTTCTAACAACTACACATTGACCCAACCTTTTTTCTCTCTAACCGACTTCTTCCTTTTTGTAAAGCGAACAAATTATCTATAATAATTGATAATTACCAGATAATTGATAATTGATAACCAGATAATAATAATTGATAATTACCAGAGGACCGACTTCACCAGGTTTCCCAGAATCCCCTTCCTCGCCCTGAAAAAGATTCAGGTGTATTCTACATGATTTTTCATTCGATGGCTAACTCTTTTCAACTTAATTAACATAAGTTAAATTTATATGAACAAAAACCAGAGTAACCTGTTTCTCTTACATGTAAACCGGGTGATCCGGATCGACCAGTTCTTCCAGTCAGTCCTGGCGGCCCCTGAGGGGAAAAAAGGATAAAAAAAAAAAATACATATTTTGATAGACTCTGGAAAAAATATCACGTATTAGGGAAGATACGTTTTCCTTTTTATTTGATGTAAAGACGAGAAGAATTTCAATCAGCTCACGATTTAACAACTCAGTTGGTATGGACCTTCCTGCGAAGGCTCTAGAAAGAACTTCCAATTATTCTTGGGTTTTAAAAGCTGAATAAGTCCACAAAGGCTCATGTTATTACTGTTGTTGTTCTTGTTGTTGATTTTTTGTTGTTGTAAATTACCTACCTGTTCTCCCTGAACTCCAAGAGGTCCATAATCTCCCATGTCTCCCTAGCAGACAAATAATTTGTGTTTAGCACGACTAAGCAGACATGTAAAAGCTACATTAAATTATAAGGTAATTTTGGTTTGATCAATTGAGTGAATAACGTAATTATCTTAAGGTTATTGACCTGCCAGTTATGAAGCATTTTGATTGGTTCTTACTGACGTTCAATTCAGTAAAAGATCACAGAAGACATCAAAATGTGAAAGAACATCAGCGACACACACGGTTGCACCTCACGTGCCATTCCTTTTTTTTCTTTTCACATGTCGACTTTATCCGTGATCTATTACTGAACAGATGCACAGTAACATGCAATCAATTTGTCAGTTTGTTAAAGGATGTTTCATTCGTTTCTATCATAGTTTCCATCAGAGTATTCAGGACTTTTAACATCACTTCTGCTACATTTAAACATACCCTTTCACCTTGTCTTCCCGAATACCCTCGCGACCCTTCTATTCCAGGCACTCCCTAAAACGATGATAACAGTAATAATAATAATAATGATAATAATAATAATAATAATAATAATAATAATAATAAAGCGATACAAAAGTTAAAAGTATTTAATAAGAGCTCGATAAAAATACTCAAAATTATCACCATAAGGTTCACAAGTATAGAACTCAACTGCCAACAGCTGATAAATTATGTTATTTGTAATACTGAAAAGTCTTACCTTAACACCACGTTCCCCAGGGGATCCCATGGGTCCTTCTGATCCTGCTGGTCCCTGGGGGATGTTAAGTGCTTTGAATTTAACCATCAAAATATTTTAGATCAACCATTGACCACTTTCGAAAATGGCTGCCGGATTGATATTCTTTTGTTTAAATTTAAATTAGCCTTTCTAGCCTCGTTCTCCAGTTCAAAATTCAAAAGAATGCATTTTCTCAAGCGAGGCTAGTGAGGCTAATTTGAATTTAAACAAAAGAATATCAATCCGGCAGCCATTTATGAAAGTGGTGTATGACGTAACATACTTACCCTTGAACCGATGATACCCATGGTGCCTTTGGCGCCAGTGTCACCGTAAGCTCCCTGAAAAGTAAACATAGTAACTTTAAGGAGCTGGCGTTGTTTTGTTGTCGTTGAGTAACGTCTCGATATGTTCGGAAGTTTTTGACGGGAAGCACGATTTTTGAGCGGAAGTGATGGCTCAGGACGGGGAAGATTAATTTGACACAGATTGCAAATGGAACCTTGAGAAAATTAAATTAAATTTGTAAGATGTACAATCAGCGTGTTTCCTTTAAGCACAGACAAAACAGAGGAACACCAGCGTGTTCCCTTTAAGCAGAGACAAAACAGAGAAACACAAAACGCAATGGACAAAAACGGACAGAAAAGAGCTTTCACTCTTGCCGCAAGGAGCCCTCGTCTTAGTCAAACGGCAAGAAAATAAACAGCGGGCTTTCAGTTCTAAAGAATTAATCCATCCATTTATACTGAACTATATACACCAAAACAAACATGAAAAGACAATGATGGTGATGAAGTTCCTCCTAATACTATAATCATCATTATCAATTATTCATACTTAAACTCTTACCCTTTTCCCTCGAGGTCCCCGCCTTCCGGGTGATCCTGGTCTCCCACTGTTACCCTGAAACGGCAAAATGTAAAATATTTTTCAATAATAAGACAACAAATTAAACTTTAGCCAAGGAGATCTTTCCTCTTTGTCAAGGTTTTACCGGTTTGCCTTTTACACCAACTTCTCCTCTCTTTCCAGGAATCCCTGGATTTCCCTAAAAATAAAATGCAATAAAAGAACCCGACGTTAAACTGGTCGGTTGTTTCCATCGGTAAAATTCAATTATTTCTGTTGACATGTAAAACTATTTCAAAAAGCGGCCCCATGAGGTGCTTCCCTCTGAAAAAAGGTGCAAAGGAAAAGGGAAGGTTATCTATGCAAACTTGAACCTTTGCTTGATTTTGTGAAATGGCCGCATTCCAAACCATTCGCAGTGTAGCCTAAAATTTTATCTAAACGTTAATTTTTCTAAACCATGTCGTGAAGGCATTATAATGACCACAGAACAACCATCTTTTTTCCTCGAACAAACCGCATATCACTAGGGCTCAGTACCCAGCAATTGTTGTTAACACAGTCCATCCAACTCTTGTGATCTACTATAACCGTCCCATTTCATACCGTGGATCCTTGATATCCTCTGGGTCCCTCCGTACCAGTGCTCCCCTGAAACAAACAGAGACCCGATCAATATACAAAAGCAGTATAGCTATCGAAACGTCGCGATTTCTATTAGACAGTGAGACAAGCGAACAACCATTCATCCATCGATTCTACCACGATGAGCAAATACATCCTTTATAACAAAGTACTTCTGAGTTGACACTAGATTGGCTATCTATGATCGATCCCTCTTGGGATCTTCGAATTCTCAAACTGTATTGATGTGAAAACAATAAAATTTATACTTACTTCCCGACCGTCAAGTCCTTGTGCACCCATTTCTCCGGGAGATCCATTATCACCCTGAAAAAAAATATCACCACTACTATCAGAGAAATTTAAGTTAAACTATAGTCCACGTTCTTTTAATGAACATTCATGAGCGAAAAGTCCTGTTGATACCAAACCTGACCGCTTCCTAAAGAATTTCAGGACATTCGACGTTAGCATCAGCCCCAGTTACAGATATGCTTCCTTTTTTTAAAATTTTCACCTGAGAGAGAGCTGAAAATTTGATGGTTTTGGTTAAATTTACTCACGCTTGATAGATATAAGATGATTCTCTCGTTTCTAAATTAATTAACATGGTAAGTGATTCTCTTCATTTCGGCTCCATAACATTAGTTGGCTACAGAACCGCCTGCAAATTTTACGAGAGTTTCTTTTACACCAGGATTATCGAGTATTTGTTTGGCGGGAACAGATTTTTTGCGGTACAAGATAACTAAAATTTCTGCTGGGAACTGACCTTTGTGAGTTCCTACAGACATTGAAAAGCGGCAACGTTTTTTCATTTTTCTTATTTTGGGGTTTTAACAAACAGGACCTGCCTAGAGGATGATACGCGGAAGTCGATGAGAATACGATGGGAATAATTGAGAGAATTTTCAGCATTCATGCCGCGTTTTTTAAAGGTAAAGTTTTCAAGCGGAGATATATTTTGCCCACCGATAATTTGCTATAAAAGTTTCACGAAATCACAGTCCAAGGCATCTGTTATATCATTTCCGACGCGCACTTGTTAATTTTTTATTAAATAGTCTACAGAAATCAAAAGAAAATCATTTTACAACTACTTACGTTAAATATTTAGTAAGCAATACAAGAACATTGTCTTACTCACGATGGAACCCTTTCCCCCAATCGGTCCCTGTTCTCCAATCTCTCCGTCACTTCCCGCCGTCCCCTTCGGCCCCATAGGTCCAGTATTACCACTGTCGCCTTGGTAACCCGTATATCCAACCAAACCACTCGTCCCGCTTTCTCCTTTTTGTCCCACAACTCCTGGAGTACCTGGAGAGCCAGGCTTACCAGCTGCGCCCTTGAAAAAGGTAAAATTTTCGAAATGAAGATCAGAACATAGGACTGGCCATTTATGTAGAAAGACCTAGGAAAGGGTGCGACTGAGGGGTAGGAATAGAGGTTGGGGGGGGGTTGAGTTTTCATTCCCCTGTTAGTCTAAGGAGCCGTCACTGACATTAGGGACCTTGAGCAAATTATGACGGTGACGGCAACGAGAACGTGGCAAAGCTCAAGTTCAAGTTTAAGGAGCCGTCAAACACTGATATTAAGGACCTTCAGCAAATTTCGACGGCGACGGCAACGAGGACGTGGCAAAGCAAAAGATCTCATGAGCAGAATAGCCAGCACGTGCGTTTTAAAACATTGTACACTTCTTAGCCGTCCTCTGCAAAACAACAACGTGAAATCACTAAAATTTGTTTTGTCTGCGAGCGGAAACAGCAACGGGAAATTATTTTAATATTCTTTGGGAACTCAACGCTGCTTATATATGCTATGGCGGAGTTGAGGTGTGGCGCCGGTAAATACATGCAGTCGTTTTCGAAGTTCTAATTAACAAATGGTAAACACCACAGCGTACACCATTGAGTTATGGATGCACGCGGGAGGTTGCTGAGCACGAAAGAAGCGTAAGAATCGCTCGAAGCGATAGCCGAGAGCGACTCTAGCTTCTTAAGTGCTTAGCAAACCTCCCAAGTGCATCCATAACTCAATAGTGTACGCTTTGGTGTTTACCATTTGTTTTATAAGATAACATTGATACATTGTAGCTAAAGAGTTCCCTTTTATTTAACAAATCTTACGTGACCAGAAAAAAACAAGCGCGCGCGGAAAACTAGTCTTTGCATTTGCTCACGTCAGCAGCGTACACCCATGGGCAAATGGGGGATGCTAAATTGACCAATCAGAGCGCGCGCTTTACTTTGGTTATGTTATAACTAAAAATAGAAATTCATTTTTTAATCGACGTTTTCCTTGGGGTTACCTTCCTGACTGCTAAAGCTCCCTATCCACTCACCTGGTCACCTTCCTCGCCCTCGACACCTTTAGCTCCTGGAGAACCCTGAGTCAAAACATAATCGCTCTTTCAGTGCATGCAATCTTCCGAAAACATTGAAATTGGATATAAACAAATCGTAAGTAAACAGTAAGGAATTTTCAAAAGTTCATCTTCATTTCTGATCTGTATGTCTCTCATCATTTTGAACATTTATGTTCATTAAGCGATTGAGATACCAATAATTTTCGTAACCTGTTTCGAAATGCTCAAGAGCGTGGAAAAGTCAAATCGCAGACATTGTAACTATTCTCAAATGATCCGGACGGCCTGCTCATTCAGACCTACATAATAGCATCATGAACTGAGTTAACGTCTGCAGGGCAGGACAGGTTGAGCGAGCCGGTCTGGAAAATGCCGTCCAGCCCAGCATTCACACGGCTCTGTTGCATTTTCAGAAAGCTTTTATTCTCATCGGACGCACACTCTTAAAAGAGCGAAAAGAGGAAAGAAGTCATGTTCTACGATGGTTTATGATTTTCTTGTTTTGACTTGAAGAAATAAAGAACAAGTTTTTGTTGTTAAATAGTTTTGTAAATGACCAGCACCCGTCCTTCTAGGCACAGTTTAAAGATTCTTGAGACCAAGTGGTCACATGATAATTATACTTATAGACTTCGTTTGGTCGGGTTGAATGGGAAAATATTTCATTCACTTTCGTGAGGCACGGACCGAGCGAGTGATTTCGAGTCTGGCCCTCCAACACAATCAAGAGGTACACATTATTTTACTCACAGGGGATCCCGTACTTCCTTGCTTCCCAGTAATTCCATGAGGTCCCTTTTTTCCCTAAAAAACAAGTGCCCATAACTCAATACGCGTAAACGTTAGTCTCTAGTTAATTAAAAGTACAGAGAAGCTGATTTCCGTAAACTCACGGGTTTCCCGTTGGTTCCTGGAGCGCCATTTACACCTTGCATGCCCTTGAGGACGAAGAAATCGAATAATTAGACCTGAACAATTTCAGTGAACTGTATTTTCAATCCACAACCGATCACTCTTTATGTGCTGGTTTCCCATGAATTATTTCGAAAATAATTAAATATCTTTAGTGATTCGTTCAAACCGCTAACGCCGTAACTATCATCAATGTTCATAAATGTTATGGCCTTATGGTGCATACAATGTAAACGACCTTAATTCACTCAATAAAGCAGGTAACTTTCTAAAAAAAAAAATGTGATGTTGCGCCGGTGGGGGTATCAACCAAATGAAGACCCGGGCAAGAGTTCTGAAAAGAACTAGAGTCTCCATGCGATTGAATAGCCCCCAAATCACAAGAAAGAACTTGGGCACAACCACCTTCGACCGTATCCATCTTCAAAGTGAATGCGTGACTACTAAGACCACACAATGCAACACGCGCCTCCTAGATGATTTCGTCATTATGCATAATGTCTATTAGGTTTGATCAGCTGAGTTGATAATGTAAATTGGCCACCGTAAAGTATTTCTAAAACTGACGTTTTTCAGCGTTCGCTCTACGTCAGAGCGAAATGAGGAATTGTCGGTTGTGTATGCTTCATATGCAGAAAGTGGAACTACACTTAACGTACGAACATACTAACAGGATAAACAAGAATAAATTAGTTGAATGAAAGTGTTCATTGATACTTTGAGAATTAAGAGTGCCGAATTGAAAGATAAATTTTTGTTCTAGAGTTTGGCAGCTTTTTCGATGTAAGGAAATGCCGCAGACTGCCATATTCTGCTTAGAATTATTTGGGAAATTCATAAGTCAAACAACTAGATTCCACGTAACGAAGTCTTCTCAAATTCAATTCTCAAAACTTGCCTCTAAACGGTCACGCCTGGCCAAAATGCCAAAATTAACACTAGTCGTCAAAATGCCAAAGCAGCCACTACTGGCCAAAATGCCTAAAGGGCAACTACTGGCCAAAATGCCAGAACAGCCACTTTTGGCCAAAATGCATTAACGCCCACTACTGGTCAAACTGCCATAACGACTACTAGTGACTTAAATGCCATAACCGCAACTAGTGGCCAATATACCAAAGTTCCCACCAGTGGAAAAAATGCCAAAACAGCCACCACGGAACAAAATGCCAAAATAGCCACTAGTAGACAAAATGCCAAAACGGCCACTAGCGGCCAACACACCAAAATTACCATAAGTGGACAAAATGCCGAACCGACCAGTGGCGGACAAAATGTCAAAGCGGCCACTAGTAGACAAAAAACCAAAACGGCCACTAGTGGCTAAAATGTCCAAACGGCCACTAGTGGACAAAATGCCAAAAGGGCCACTAGCGGACAAAATGCCAAAACGACCACTAGTGGGCAGAATGCCAAAACGGCCACTAGTGGCTAAAATGTCCAAACGGCCACTAATGGACAAAATGCCAAAACGGCCACTAGTGGACAAAATGCCAAAAGAATCACTCACTACTGGACAAAATGCCAAAACGGCCACTAGTGCAGAAAATGCCTAAACGGCCACTGGAAAAAATGCCAAAACCGCCAGTAATTGACAAAATGCCAATACGGTCACTAATAGACAAAATGCCAAGACGACCAAGAGCAGCTAAAATATCCAAACGGCCACTACTGGACAAACTGCCAAAACGGCCACTAGTGGATAAAATGCCAAAACGGCCACTAGTGGACAAAATCCAAAAATGGCCACTAGGGGACAAAATGCCAAAACGGCCACTAGTGGACAAAATGCCAAAACGGCCACTACTGGGAAAAATGCCAAAACGGCCACTAGTGTATAAAATGCCAAAAAGGCCACTAGTGCACAAAATCCCAAAACGTCCACCAGTGGACAAAATGCCAAGAGGGCCACTACTGGCTAAAATGTCCAAACGGCCACTAGTGGACAAAAGGCCAAAACGGCCACTAGTGGACAAAATGCCAGAACGATCACTTGTGGACAAAATGCCAAAATGGCCACTAGTGGACAAAATGTCAAAACGGCTACTAGTAGACAAAATGCCATAACGGCCACTAGTGGACGAAATACCAAAACAGCCACTAATGCACAAAATGTTGAGATGCCTAAAATGCCTAAACTGCCGCTAGTTGCCAAAATGACAAAACGGCCACTTTTGGCCAATATGCCGAAATTGCCACTAATGGTCAAAGTGACAGAGCAACCAGTAGTGGCGAAATATCAACAACTGCGACTAGTGGACAAAATGTCGAAACGGCCACTAGTTGCTTAAATGCCAAATGGGCCACTAGTGGACAAAATCCCAAAACGGCCACTAATCTAACGACTGACATTTTCACTCATCTGCAGTCTTTCCTATCATGGTTGTTTTGTTTTGTTTTTTTCGTTTTGCTGTAGCTTTAGTTGTTTCATTTTGGCTAGATATCTTTATCTTTTAAAATCAGTTTAATGACAATGTTTTCCCTTTTGTTATTAATTGCTCACCGTCTCTCCTTCCTCTCCCCGTTCTCCTATCGGACCAGTTTGACCGCGACGACCTTTATGTCCTTTGAGGCCTGAGTGCCCCTCCTCCCCAGAGTCACCTGACTGGCCCTGTTAGATTAAGGTCGTAACACAGTATTCATTAAGTATATTAGTAGTATTTTTTACAAATATCTAACGAGCTGGTGACAACGGTTCTTTATTATCACATAAACCAAATTCGAACGTGTAAACCATATATCAAAATTAATTAGATGAATCATATCACGTTTACGTGCAAAATAAAAAATTAACAAGTTGAATTTCACAGTCAAATTCCGATGATGAGACGAACCTTCGGCAAACTCGAAGCACTTTTCGTTTCCCTAAAGGTCATTATTTCTAAAATTTCATCTTCGATAATTCAAGCCATGTCCGTTAATTCGTAACCTTAAAACTCATTGCACTATTGTACAAAATGTCGAAATTAAAGTGAAGCAGTGATGAATCTTTACAGTTAACAGTTTCTACAAAACATCCTGTTTTCATTTGACGACTCTACTTTGTAATATTTGTTTAAAAATTTGGGAACGACATGATATACATGATTGCCATAGACAGCAGAACATAAGGCGAGGCCAAATCATAATAGTATTTGAGCAGAAATTTTCCTCTCACTTTCTCTCCAGGTTCACCAAGAATGCCAGGATTTCCTCGTTTCCCCGGTGCCCCCTGACAAATGAATGCAAATCAAGTAACATGACACTCACTAAAGCTTTTATCTTTATGATTATGGCGCCGGAGTTGTGATCAGAAGTGCAGAGTGCCACTAGGTAGTGAAAATTAAAAAGATGGACTCTACTCGGAAGCATCATACTCACTCCACCCACGACTTCGTCGCCTGTGAGCGAGTGAAAACTAGTTTGTTGTATTTGCAAGGAGACTCGGAGAAACTGAGAACTAACATTGTGACTGGTTGCCTCTTCTGGTGTTTCTGCTAGCAACTCCGATCATTTAGTTTTGCAGGCAGTGGACACTACTGAAATAGTACTTCCGCCCTTTTTCGCCCGCCCGCCTTTTTTCAATTGGTACCCCTGACCGATGACCTGACACAGTACATGTTTGTGGGGGAAAGATCATAAATTTTAAAAGAACGAAATGGGAGGTTTCACATACACGCACAATAAAACTTGGGAGTAAACTAGACAGAACAAAAAGAGAAACGAGATCTCTAGAAGCAAAAGGTACAAATATTGACCGCTAGTCAATAGTAGAAGATAAGAGTACGAAAAAAAAAAACAAACAAACAATAACCCTTTTTCAGTCTTACTTCTGTTCCGCGTCGTCCTGGGCGACCAACTGGTCCTATCAAACCAACTCGGCCCTAAAAAAAGACAAGATTATGAACATCAGTTATTGCGAGTCTTCTCTCAATCAAACTAGCTCTTCCTCGTAACGCCTTACCCTAGGTCCTCTGGCTCCTATTCGGCCTCGATACCCTGGGATACCTGGAGGACCCTGAGGAACACAGAGACATTCTATTCACATTGAATCTACATGAATTCCAGTAAATATGCCAAAAAAATATAGAAATTAGTCTATGTTGTTTGTAAGATTCATATGCTAATTCGCGCACCTGCTATTTAAATACAAAACGTCAATGAAGAACAGGCTCCATTTCATTCACTTACCGTATTTCCACGAATGAACGCCCGCGCTCTAATAAGCGCCCGCGCTCTAATAAACGCCCTCCGCCGAATAAGCGCCCACCCCCAAGGCCAATATGTCAAACAAGCGCCCCCCTTTTGTACGCACCCCTGCCTGGTTCACTTTCTTAAACAGCAGAGATACAACGAAACCTGTTTCTATTGCCTATTTATCTGTCTCCATGTGCTTGCAGAGTTCCTTTATGTGCGTTATCTGTTCTTTTAATTTTTGTCCTATATCTGCACTATTTAATAAGTGCCTCTCTCGATTAAGCACCCTCCTTCCGATTAGCGCCCCTTCTTTAAGCTGAAATTTGAAATAAGCGGCCGGGTGCTTACTCGAGGAAATACGCACAGGTGAGGGGAGTGCTAAGGAGAACCACGCAGGGGGAAGGGGGAGGTCAATTTTACACGCGCATGAGAAGAACGTGGAGGAAGAACCACGCACAAGAGGAGGAGGCCAGTTTACGTGTGACTCGCTCTTCACACTCGCTTCTCGATAACCCCTGTTCGCCTGAAAAAAGCATGCACCAGCCTGTTCTCAGAAAAGTAAAAACGACTTACTCGTGGTCCCCGCGGACCAGGTATTCCAGGTCGTCCTGGGGGTCCCTGTATCAAGAGAAATAAGAAAGCTATTCAAACAAACTTAAATTACTAAATCATTAACATCATATCATTCTCGAGTAAGTGGCGCAACAGAATGCAATTAAGACCAGAAAAATGAAACAAAGGTATGTCTTCGTGGTCCATAACCCGGTTGTGGGCATGTGTCTCTCTTCGTTTAAGATCCAAGCGTCCCGTCCATTCCTATTTTTCCACTATCAAAAAGCACGTTAGGAGCTATTTCTCACACTGTTGTACCTGTCTAGCTTGTTGTCGTATAGGAAGGATCATGGGTGGCACAACGGGACCTTTTTCATTCTAAGAAAACAAAGAAAGAGGTTATTAACACAATTGACAGTAACATCGCAATCTGATTGCCCTTGTCGATAGAAAAGCAAACGCTGCTCGCGTTCACGTGTCACGCTGTCGTGGTTAAAGACAAATCAACAGTGGTGTAGCGTGGTCTGTACTCTTATCGACGACAATAATCGTCATCACAGTTTTCAAAATGTACTGCGGGCTCACTCGGCTGCGCCTCCTGAGTCCACAACATTTTGACTAATGTGTTGACAAATATCAATGTCGATAAGTGTAGAGACCACGCTATACCACTGTCGATTTGTTGTATCTTGAATGCTCCTTCATTCAGAGAAATTTGGTCTCAAGGTCGAGTGGACCATGACGGTCTGTGTTTATTCTCGCTTTCTGCACTACTAAGTTAACCCTGATTTACTTTTTGAAATCATGCATAGCTCAATCAAACCATGCAGCATACCAGACAAACCTTACATTTATGGGTCCTTTCTCCCCCGGAGGCCTCAGGGAACCTATGGTTCCCCCTCCCCCGCCACCCGGTGATCCCGGTGGTCCCGGTGGTCCTGGTGGTCCCAGAGGCCCTGGTTCTCCGGCTTCTCCCTGGAAACGGACAAGGCAACAGGAAGTTAACAGAAGGGATAGCGCGAAAATAAACTTATTTGCTCTCTAAAAATTACGATTTAAACAGTAATTAATTTCTAAATGAAGATCACCGGCTCTCCGGGGTCCCCTGGATCGCCTCTTGGTCCGGCTGGTCCCTCTGGACCCTACAGAAATTGATAAAGGTCAATATGTAACTTCTATGATTTGATGACACTCAGTTATAAAACGCTCAAAAGAAGTAATGAAGGACAGTTTTACTCACCGGGTTACCAGCAACTCCGGGATCACCAGGCGGTCCAATTATCTTCAAAAACAAAGAATTAGCGACAAATAAGTTATCATGAACTAGTATAAACAAGTTACTATTGCCTATTTACAGGAAGAAGAAAGGCAAAACAAGCAAAAACCAACCAATCAATAATCTAATTATCTAACTATCATTTACTTTGTTTTTGACATGGAAGGCAACACCGTTATCACATAATGACACCTTTTACAGTATGTGATATTGGATTTATCGACTTCTCGATTTCCTGGCGGCATTTGGGCAGGGAATCGAGAAACCTTTTAGGGCGGCATACATGTGTAAACATGTACGTTGTTAAAAGAATAGTTCAAATATTTCGGTCAATATTTCGGCGTACATGTGTAAACGTGTGCGTTGTTAAAAGAATAGTTCAAATATTTCGGTCAATTCAAAGCTATCAAAAACATTTATGTACAACTATAACAAAATTGAGCACCCACCTGTGAACAAACGCGAGAACAAACGTGAACAAACGTGAACAAACGCGAGAAGCGTTACAGAAGCATTACTGTTACTTTTGGTTTTGAAAAGTGATGACACTCCGTCGATTGTGAGTAATCCCGACGCAAAATTTAAGATGAAAATCAGCAAACATTGATTCGACAGAAGCAATACACATTCTTTACTTACCGTTGACATTTTCTCAGCTGAAAAAAGAAAACCAGAACGATAGAAAATTATAACACTATGAAAAAGAAGTTTGTTGATTCTTCTTTAAATATCAAAGTAGATCTTTATAGACTGCAAGGAAACACAAATTATACACCGTGGGGAAGCAAAGGGAATGCCATGAAAGATTGTTTTTGGTAGTAAACTGAAAATGATTCAATCAGTATATTTGTCATATTTCTATCCTACCTCCTTCACAGACTGTGTCCGTAATTGTCCGCAAGCTGGGTCGTAAGTCACCAGAGGTAGTCGCCAAGAACACGTTGTTTTCAGCTGGTGGCGACACTATCTGCACAAGGGCGTCCACGTCCGGGTCTTCACCAATCGCTACCACAAACAAGTCAGCAGGCATGGCTCTGATGTCGATGGCAGCATCGACAGCCGTCATGGGGTCCGACAGATTGCCCGCAGTTATAAGAACAACTGTCTAAGGAGACATACCACTTAAGCGTAAACCCTTCATTATACTGTACAACAAAAATTATCAAATACTAGCCAAACATGGTATAGGATTTGGCACTGAAAAACCCGTTCACAGTGGGATTTAGCAATGGGATTTAGCATAGGACATTCCAGGAGGTGGCTCTTCTTCTCTACAGTTTCCAGGTCGAACTGGAATTTGGAATGTTGGAGGAAGGAAAACCGATAAATCCGAAGAAAAACCTACAGCGCAGGGATGAGATCCAAACGACAAACTCAAGCCATATCTGACATCAGGTCCGAGAATCGAACCCGGGTCACAGCGGTGGGAGCCGAGCACTCTCACCACTACGACACCCCCGCTACCATCCTATCAGGATTATCACTGCTGTCTAAAATCGGACACTGCTGTCTAAAATCGGACGCTAGTGTCGAAAATCGGAAACTAATGTCCAAAATCGGACAGTAGTGTACAAAATTTAACATAAGTGTCTGAAATTAGATACGTTTCCAAAATCGGACACTGGTGTCCAAAATCAGACTCTAGTCTCTAAAGTCCAAAATCGGACACTAGTATCCAACATCGAACACTACAGTAGTGTCTACAATCGGTCATTAGTGTCCAAAATCGGACACAACTGTCTAAACTAGGACAATAGTGGCGATGGAGGAATCATAAGTTACTCGACTGAAGACTGCCTTCTATCTCTTTTTATTTACCTTATGTATTATTGTAGACAAGAGACTTATGTTTCTCTGCTCTTTGTCTATGACATGGATACCAAGTTTAAGGGAGTCCTACTTATGGAATGACTAAGCCGCATTAATAAGTATGTTAGCTTTTTAACTCTTTACGGTGACCAATTTACAATCTCAACTTAGTTTATATTACCAAATTACCTTGTTACCCCCACTGACACAGCACTACGGCTTCTTTAGAAACTTACCCCCCTTGTCACACAAAGACCACATCCCCCCCCCTCCCTTCCCATTAGGACACAAAAATCAGGGTATATCACCTTATTGGTTCCATTCCGCGCCCCATTTCCGTCACCATAAACTGTCTTGAACACCTCTGTTAAGGCAGTGTTAGTTGTCACAGCATTCCCACTCTCAAAGACAATTTTGTCGATATCATCTGTGATTTTTTCTTTACTGAGCACAGGACCACTGTAGGAGTCAAACCGAGTATGAACAACTGGTGCAGTTCCATAGCTCACAATGGCCACATGCGTCCCTTCCTCGCGAACATCGAATGCATTGACGAACTGCTTACTGAAGTCTTTTACTTGCTCTAACTGGTCTTCGTCAATTCGAGCGGAATTTTCCATCACTATCGTCAGATCAAATTGCTTGCTGCAAACTGGCATGAACAAACAAATATGGCAAAATAGAGAGTTGCTTTAAAACAAATCCAAATGTGGAAGAAAAGATTTAAGATTTCAGCCATAGCTAAACAGACACAAAGCTCGCGAATCACTTACAAAAATATATCAATCAAACCTTGCAAATGTCAGTGTGTGTTCGGTTAAACAACCTCGTTCAATCAAATAAAATTTATTCCAAACGTTTGTATATAGGGTTCTAGATTTGCCATTCACCTTTCTCTTTTCGGTATAGTTTTAGATATGCTTTTACTTATCAGATTATTCCAAACGTTTGTTAAGTATTTACACCGCAAAAGAGTTCAAAGCCCGGCTTAACAGCTTGTTACCTTTTTCGCACTCAATTAAATTTTTTCTGCGCTGTATTGCCTCTCCTCTGTATGGCGTTTACTGAAAACTGCATTCCTCACGGCCAATCGGAATTAAGACATTTTTCATCTTTATCATTTAAGAAGTGAAGGCCTTTGGTTCAATTTCTCGTGATGGACATAGACTCATTCTTTGTCCCACGTTTGTGACAACTGAATAACATTTTTTTCTTCATTTAAAACTATCCATACCATTCTCTGGCTCGAGGCATACTTGAAAGCAGCCGGTTTGCGGATCCAAACAGCATTTCATTTCCCCGGGACAGTCCCAGTCATAATTCTCCGAAGGCCCCCCTCCGTTTGCCGATAGGCCACAGACTATGGTCTCTTCTGGGTCTGGTTGCATCACCTGGCACGCAAGTGGGTCTGGGGTCGCGTCAACTACTGGACATGTTCCAGGCTTCTCTGGGAGAAAATGTGAAGTAGCAGATAAACAGACAAATCTCTAGTTATAGAGAGTTGAAAGAGGGCACTGATGCAAAATTACTGAAAAAGAAAACTGGGAGAGAATTTAATACCGACACTTACCTGCACACAATTTACGCGACAAATCTTCTAAGACAATTCCACCCAATTGACTCGGCTCTTCGGCTCTGTAGATGAAACGACTGTCGCCTCCTAGCTTTTGTAAAAAAGCCCCAGGGACACCCGTATTCGTTCCTATGGCAACAAAGGTCACGCCCAAATCACGTAGCTTTTTCCCAGCTCCCTCGAGAACGATGAACTCCGCAGTTGGGCCTCCGGAGCTTACGAAGACAAGGTATCGTGGATGTCCGTGTCTGATTCCTCCTGCTAAGCTGAAAATCTTCTCTTTGGTCGTGTTCAGAGCAGCGTCTACCCTGCGTTCAGAGTCATTGCGTTTGGCCATGTTATCGATGAGATTTTCCAGATAGATTTGGTCACGAGAGCTGCGAAAATCTGTAATTACATTAGCAGTGTTGCCATATTCAAGCAAGGAAAATCGAACCTCCGAGCTCGCAAGCTGGTTAATGAATTGCTTAAGGAATCGTTTCACGTTGTTGAATTCGCTGCTGGTTGTTGCGTCGGAATTGTCCACAGCGATGGCGACATCCATTGGAACAAAGCAACCTGTTGGAATGAAAAAGATGTCTTAGGTAACGCATAAACAAAGATTTCTTCGCGAGTCCTTCAAATATTTTGCTTCAATTCGCTTTATATACTACAAGGATGCAATGGAGCTCTTCCCCGACATCTGCCATATCGTGTCTTCTCGAATATTAATGTTTCGTGTTAATTATCCTTTATTGCCTGAGATAGTTAAGTTGAGCGCGAAGTTAGCGCAAAAGAGAAGGCTTTTGGACGTATGTGTTTAGCGAAGTTCGCTAAAGCTTCTCAGAGAATTTCTATGTTCAATTTGTGTCATCATGTACTTGGAGGTCTGAGAAGTAAAAGCCTGAGGAAGTCTTTACATGTGTGTGCGAGTCGAAAGAAACAGGGTCGAGAAGATCAAATCGAAGAGTACAAAAGAGTATCAGTCTACTGTCAGGGAAGCCGGACGGAATTCTGGGAAGTAACCTTGTGATGGACTAAGATCCCACCCAGATCTTTGACGACCAAGCGGTTGTACATTTCAGTTGCAGATACACGGTAAGATCTGGTGACGAGATTGGAGTAGCACAACTCCCAGTCTCAGAGGAGCTTGGATAAGCCCCAATAGGATGGGTAACTAAGTTGGTATGCTAATGTTATCTGTAAGAACTCTTTCTATTGAACAACTTACTTCTGATTTGTCCAAGACATTGCCGTCCACCACAGCCGTTCAGGCAACACAGCGGAGAACCCCCACCAGAGTTACAATCTGCATCGACATCACATTCGTCATCGGGGTTTCTTGGACAGAATTCTGGGGGAAGAGAGGGTAGGGGACATTTTCCAACTTTACCTGCAAAGTACAAAACAAGCAAAAGCATTGGAGACATCCCTATATACATAATAATTATCAAACAGCGTACCTCCCTAGTAAGACGTAGCAAAGCTAGGGTTAAGAAAGCTGTCGTGTTGTGAAAACCATGTTTTAGGAGCAATGTCATGGTTTGTCCATTGGAAAAAAAAAACATTGCCCTAACTTTTAATTTCTAATTTTTTCCTTACATTATCACCCTGCACCCTGGAATCAAATGTCAAGGTGACGGGAATAAAGGACATGATTACCAGAAGTAAATAGCTCCTGATTGTCGCACAAATTCTCCTTGTTGATACCAAAGAAAAGGTAAGAAAACAACGTGGAGAATATGAATACTAATACTACGGTATGAAGGGTATAGTTGTTACTGTTTTAGGAGTATCTCGATTAAAGGTTAATCCTGTCCATCGTGAACCATATTCGTTACCATTAGGGGTTTTCTTTGTCTCTTTGGTCTTTTTCTTCATCAGTAAATGATTGTTTTAAGATCTCAATCTTTTTTGAAGGTGATTGGTTTTTTTAATTCGTTTTTTGGTTTTCATTTGTTTATTACTTGTTTCTTAGCTTGACTGTATTTTTTCGTCTATCAGTCTGTCTGTCTGTGTTTCTTTCCGTCTGTGTGTCTATCTGTCTGTGTGTCTATCTGTCGGTGTGTCTGTCTGTCTCTGTGTCCGTCTTTGTGTCTGTCTGTCTTTGTGTCTGTATGTCTATCCTTCTTTCTGTCTCTCTGTGTCTGTCTGCCTCTGTGTCTGTCTGTCTCTCTGTCTGTCCGTGTTTGTGTCTGTCTGTCTTTGTGTCTGTATGTCTATCCTTCTGTCTGTCCCTCTGTGTCTGTCTGCCTCTGTGTCTGTCTGTCTGTCTGTCCGTCTTTGTGTCTGTCTGTCTTTGTGTCTGTAGGTCTATCCTTCTGTCTGTCTGTCTGTCTCCCTCTGTGTCTGTCTGTCTTTGTGTCTGTATATCTGTCCGTCTGTCTGTCCGTCTGTGTCTGTCTGTTTGTATGATTCTTTGGTTCACTGCGAAAAGATCTTTTAATTAAGTCTGGCGACGAGTTTATGACCACGTGAGGGGATAAACTTGGTCCTTTTTTTCTCATTAATTGCTTGAAAACAATCAAACCAGTGCCAAGCCACGAGGATGAAAAAACAAAAATTGAGTAAAAAAAAAAATAATTGAATTTGTCACCTTTACAAAGCACATCTGCAACAACTCTACTTTTTTCGCCCAGTTTCTTGTGATCTGGGACGCTGTAAAAAAACTTTGAAGGGGGCTGAGTTGACGCAAGCGCATAGAGGTTTTGGTCAACGTTTTGCCCAACTCCTACGGTAAGCAACCTTACTCCAAGGCTCTTAAGCCTTGTTGCGGCTTGTAGTACCTCCTGTTGACCGCTGACCGAACCTTCTGGAACAATAAGAATAAACACCTTGGGTTTGGACTGTCTTACACCGCCATATATGGTAAAGGTGCTGCTGTAGGCTTCATCCAGTGCAGAGACCACGTTAGCACTTTTCCCTCGTTGACTGAGTCTAGAAGTAAAGGATTCAAGGTCCTCCTTTGTGTCCAGTTGGTTGATGGCCGCCGTTGTCTGTGCGGAGGAACTGTAAGTAACAAAACCAACATGTACTTTCAAGGGACCCACATCGAACGAATCGATGGTTTCATTCACGAAATAC